ATTTTTTACCCACTCAACTAACGCTCCACTATGTTTTCACCCTTGACCATAATTAATTGTATGAGCCATAGAGTTGCACCGCTTACTCCTAACCTCTAAAATCCAATCTACTGTAATGCTAAACAAACATCAAAAGAAAACATTAAGTTGTAAACTTACCAGCCATTAAAAAAGTGATTACATGACTCCAACTTAGCGACATATTCAATTCAATAGTTCACTGATGATTATCTGTTACATTTTGGTAAAATTCACAATAGAAATACCAAGCAATCTCTACACACCTACACACCATAGTGTTTACACACCACATTGACATTCGGATGGACTTTCAATCTTTCAGCTCGCTGCGTAGTAGCGTATGAACTATGAAGTAAACAGTGGGAAGTGTTTTCTTCGTTCGCCACTACGCAGCGGCCTGCAATCTCGCTCCCACAGCGCGTGTGTTCACCAGACCAATAGGGCAACACGCAAAACTCAGCACAGCCTTGTACTAAACTATTGACTTTTGTTTACCTAACTAAAATGTGTTCTGAAATAATTGTACGGTATACTTAATCAAAATATTTCAAGTCCGCCTATTCGGAAATATGTCCCTGGGTTAACATGGGATTCTGCAGAGCCACTGGGGCGGAGCCCTTTTGACGGATCTGCACCAAACTTCACACAAACCATCCTTGAATAACGCTTAATAATGCCTGACATTTTCATTACAATCTGTCAAGCGGTTTCGGAGTCCATAACGTTCAAATATATAAAAACTTCCTCTTTTATAAAATAGAAGATAACATCTGTCCATTGGTTCAATAATTTGAGCAAAAATCATACAATTTTGATGGAATTTTGTATAAAATATGTAAATCTACATTTATTCTAACGAGTTTGCAGTTTTTCTCATTTTGAACCCCAAAACATAAAATTTCCCATTTAGTATCCAATTCCATATCCAATCCAGTAGGCCTACCCAAGAGCTTTAAACAACAAATAATTTAGTACCTATATATTGTATAGTATTATATTGAAGTTTTTTCCGGTTATTATTGGATACGGAGAAAATTTTAAAAATTTAAAATTCCCATGTTATTCTTATGGTGAATAAACTGTTGTGATTTGCCTTTTTACTGATTTTATACTAAGCTATTAATATTTTTTTTAAATAACATCTTTTAGCGAATTTTCCTAAGGAAGTAGCTAGGGAGTAGAAGGGAAGTAGCTATTACCGTAGGTGGCATGGTAAGACCTAGGCCCGGGACCGATTTACTTTTTTGTTTTGATGTCCCCAGAGGCCAAAAACACCATTCGATCAAATTTTTGTATATGTATATATATATATATATATATATATGTATATATCTGTGTGCGATAACTTGAGTGATTTTTGTCCGATTTTGATGAAATTTGGTTTAAAGGTGTAAGGCGGGATAAACTTAAATTATTTCGCGAACCAGCATGATCGGACCATGAGAACGGGGTTTTATGAGGTAAAAATTGGTTTTTCTTATTTTTGACCCTCAAAACTTAGAATTTCCCAATTTCTCTCAAGACCTTTAAAGAGCTTAAAAAACAAATAATTTAGTATACCAAAGTGTTTTTGTACGATAATTGGTAACGGAGAAAATTAAAAAAATTTAAAATTTAAAATTCCCATTTCATTCTTATGCTATGGAGAATATTGTAAAATGTTGTAGTTTGCTTGTAAATGGATATATTTTGATCAAACTTGGCAATTTTATTTATTTTATACTGAGCTATCAATATTTTACTAAAAAACACCGTTCCTTGTAGCAGCAAACCTAGGTACTTGTTAAACCTAATGTTATTAGATTGGGAACAAATCTGACATGTAAAAGGAATTATTGAAGTAAAAATCCAACCAGGCAAAGGGAAATTCGCTTTGTTTGCAGGTCTGCTGCAGCGGGGTATTTTTCACTACACCTTTGATCCATAAACCAATGATAAGAACCCACTGTGTTTTTTGTAATCTTTGCACTGGCTATTCAGGATAGAACTGGCACGAACTTGCACAGATTAGTTTAGGTTTCAAAAAATTTAGTAATTAATTTAGGTACTGTAAATTTAATATCTATTAATATAGAGACGCCACCTAGGTGCATATTTTAACCAAAAGTACCAGGAGACTGAGCTTTGCTCGGATTAAATTAAACATTAAATTTATTAGATAAGTTATTTCGCTAAATTAATATTAATATCTATTAATATAGAGACGCCACCTAGGTGAATATTTTAACCAAAAGTACCAGGAGACTGAGCTTTGCTCGGATTAAATTAAACATTAAATTTATTAGATAAGTTATTTAGCTAAATTAAAGCTTAAGTATTTATTATGTACGGGTATCAATGTGGACACATTTAGATGATACAAAGAAAATATTTTTTCACCACACTACGATGTTTTTGGCTGTATTACAAACGTTATTTAGTGGCTGAAAGTTACGTTTTACTGGCCATGCCAGCTGTCATCGTAATTTGGGGACCAAGCAGGTTTTTACAGGCCGGGGCCGCAAAATCAGCTGTCCGCTTACTTACTTAAAACATGAATGCATTTTAAATACACAATCAAAATCCATAGCATTGCAATAGAATTGTGTTATTGTCACCGTTGCCTAGCAACTATTTATTTTTATTTTTACAGATTCCTCAAATTATTTCTTCACATAACCTTAAAGTTGTAGTTGTGTTGACTATCAGTGTGCATTATTATAGTGGTGAATAGTGGTAATAGGGTAAAGTGTGGTGAAAAATAGCATTCGTACCATGGACCGAAATGGTTTTGCAGCTCTCGATCCGGCTACGGCTAAAAACTATCTCGAGCCGGCAAAACCTCATTTTCGGCCCTAGGTACGAAATATACTATTAACACACCTTTATAAATATGAACAGATTGCAATTAAAATAACCTGTATCAGCTGTTTTAGCGAATTTCCCATATGGGGAATAAGCTATTACCGTAGTACTCATGGTAAGACCTGGACGCGGGACCGATTTTTTTTTTTCGTTTTGAGGTCCCTAAAGGCCAAAATACACCATCCGTTCAAATTCATATATGTATTTATACATACAGGGTTAGTAAAAAGTCTGGAGACCCCCTGTTAATTTTTTAATGGCCCATACTAGAAAAACTAAACTCGGCACACATTTTTGACATGTTACGAAGTACTTTTTTGGGCATAACCGTCACTTGGTGTACACCCCCAAAATGGGGGATTTTGGGAGAAACTCAAAAATTTCAAATGGTAAGACCCATCGAGTGACCCCTCATTTTAAAGATCCTGGTAAAAGAAATCAACAATGCAAATTAGAGGTCGCTATCTCAATCCAGTAAAAAATGGCAGCCAGTTGAAATTCTCAGATGTTAAATTTAACTTACGCAGCTTTCCAAGTCTAGAGACCCCCAGTAAATTTTGTAACGGCTCACACTAGGAAAACTAAACTCTACACACCTTTATGGTATGTTATGAAGTACTTTTTGAGCCTAATTTATACTTGGTTCCCAAACCCAAAATGAGGGATTTTGGGGGAGACTCAAAAACTGTAAATGTTAAGCCCCATCAAGTGACCCCTCCTTTTGAAGGTCGTGATAAAAGAAAACTATCAACGCAAACTAGAGGTCTCTATCTAAACACAGTAAAATATGGCAGCCAATTGAATGTAAAATTGCAAGTTAATTCTGATATCTAAAGATTTCAATCAGCTGCCATTTTTTACTGGATCAAAAAAATCCTTGGATAAAAATAAAAGTTTGTCCGTACACACACTTGTTTTAGAGTATAGGATATGAGTGAATGGTTTGAGATGATCTTTGTAGCTTTGTTACTGACTAAGATCAGCTGTTTCATTAGCAAGGACCATTAATTTAAAGCCCAATGATCAGGAACAGCTGGGTCCAGTTTCGAACCATTAAAAAGCTACCGTCTTTTCTCAGGATTGAACCGGCAACCTTTTCTTTTGATTGTTATGTTAGGCGAGCACTTTAGTTTTTAGTTATAATTAATTATAGTTCTCAAGGAGCAACAGGCACATATAAATGTAGAATAAAAATATAAGTTGCTAACCACAGTCTTCAGATTGATAGTATTCTTGGTCTTGTATCTAGTATATTTGTTACATTAAGAGGAAAGTTTCACCATTTGATTTGAGTTTTCACCAACAACTAGAGGAAATATTGATTTACTGAAAACTTGGATGAGTATGATATTAAAATGGCAAGTCCATGTTGTTTCAAAAATACTCAATTTCTATAAGTTACAACTTTAGATACAGATACAGATAAAGACAAATATTTTAAAACTGTTCAATATAAGTGAGCATTGTGATAAAAAAACTTGTTTGTGAATGCTTTGGAGAAACATTTTTGATTTTTTTAATGTTCTGTGGTACATTGCTTGTTCTATAATAAGATGCTAATTTGAATTTATCGTTTCTTTTTGTAAAAAAATTTGCTTTTAATATTGTTGGATCTTTGGTTTATTTGGAAGGTTTAAACATGCTACGTGATATACAGTACAACCCCTGTTAACTGAATTCGGGTTAACCAAAACCCTGGGTTAACCGAAATGGTTCTATAAAATAATATAGGACTGTAAAACGGTTTAATAATTTCAGTTGTCTGGTTTAAAGTATTTTCTATCCCATTGTAACATTTTTGTAGCTGAAATAAAACACTGAATTATATAGACATTCTTCTTAAATTCATTTTTCCTACACACTGTGGTGATACATTGGCTATTTTTAGCATATGATGGGTTAACCGACAAATTTGTTATCCGAAACGGCTCCCTCCCCCCCCTTTATTTCGGTTAACCGTGGTTCTACTGTATTGCAAAACCTGAAGTTCTTCAATAATTAACTATCATTAAAACGCTGACAAACTAACCAAAACTACACCATCAATATTAAAAGCTAAATATTGATGAGTTTGGTTTTGGCTTATTACTGTGGTTGTACTTTTTCACCATGTTGATAATTTCAAACAAACACTGTTACATTTTTGCAGAAGACTTTTTTGCATCTATTTCTTTTCACAAGGTACATTGGTCAACAAACGTAACAGCACCACTTGAAGAAATGTCTCCATATTCAACCCCCATGGGGTACAGTGACTTGCTCAGGTCATCTCTGAAACATAGCAATACAATCATGGTGAAAATTAAGCTCTTTTAGCGAATTTCCCATATAGGGAATAAGCTATTACCGTAGTACTCATGGTAAGACCTGGACCCAGGACCGATTTAATTTTTCATTTTGAGGTCCCTAGAGGCCAAAAACACCATCCGTTCAGATTCATATATATATATATATATATATATATGTGTCCGTTAAGCGCGATAACTGGTTCCCAATCCAGCATAATCGGATCATGGGAACGGGGTTTTATGGGATAAAAATGGGGTTTTCCCATTTTTGACCCTAAAAACAAAAAAATTTACAAACCGTTTTGTAGAACTTAAAAAAATAAATAATTTAGTATATTGAAGCGCTGTTGTATGCCTAACGGTCACGGAGAAAAATAGTGTAATTTAAAATTCCCATGTTATTCTTATGGAAAAATGAAAATTGTTGTAGTTTACTTGTTTATGGATATATATATTGGTAAAATCTGGCAAATTTATTTATTTCATCCTATACTATTGACGTATGGTAAAAAAACACTTTTTAACCTCCCCGTAGCAGCAAACCTAAGCACTCGTTAAATCTTAATCTATAAGTATAAAAGAGGATGTTTGTATATATATATACTAGCTGTAACCAGCGGGCTTTGCCCCGTTTAACTTCTTAATTTTCAAGATTATCTCGTTCGCATGGCTCAATCACGTCCTGGTTGAAGTTTGTTCTCTACGCTCACTCACTTTTAGGTTGGAGCTCGTTCGCTGCGCTCACTTGCCTTCAGGTTATCTCGTTAGCTACGCTAACTCGCCTCCAGGTTGAAGTTCGTTCGCTACGCTCACTCACCTTTTGGTTGCAAATTAGCTGTTGTCATAAATGTAAAAGAAATAATAGTGCTGCACCCTGATGGTAATCCTTGTAACTTTAATGCTATTGAACATCATAGAACAGAACCAACTTGTTTAATTGAAACAGCTGTTAAGATTCAATAATTCCATTTCTCATAAGGTTAACATGGGAAACTCCAGAGCCACTGGGGCGGAGCCCGAAAGGATTTTTGAAATAAGAATATGCCTATATGTTAATCGGGAATGTGAGCTATCATCATGTCAAATTTCAGCCCAATCCGACCAGTATTTTTTGCGTTCACTTGTCACAAACATACATCCATACATCCAAACTTTCTCATTTATAATAATAGTAGGATTTGGCAGTGATAAACTCATTTGACAGTGACATCGCTGAACCGATTGCCACGAAACTTGGTACATACGTGTAGAATTTCATGGAATAGGTTTATACACCATCAATTTCGTGATCCGTCCAATCGGCTCCGCCCCAGTGGCTCTGGAGTTTCCCATGTTAACCTTATGAGAAATGGAATTATTGAATCTTAACAGCTGTTTCAATTAAACAAGTTGGTTCTGTTCTATGATGTTCAATAGCATTAAAGTTACAAGGATTACCATCAGGGTGCAGCACTATTATTTCTTTTACATTTATGACAACAGCTAATTTGCAACCAAAAGGTGAGTGAGCATAGCGAACGAACTTGAACTTGGAGGCGAGTTAGCGTAGTGAACGAGCTAACCTGAAGGCAAGTGAGCGCAGCGAACGAGCTCCAACCTAAAGGTGAGTGAGCGTAGCGAACGAACTTCAACCAGGACGTGATTGAGCCATACGAACGAGATCATCTTGAAAATTAAGAAGTTAAACGGGGCAAAGCCCGCGGGTTAGAGCTAGTGTTATTTAAATAGGGAATAAATATGTCTTATTTATGGAAATATTTTAGTAAAAATGTAATCAGACAAGTTAAAACTCGCTTAGTCTGCAGGTTTGCTGCGGCGGGGGTATTTTTTATATTGAACTAGCCGCTATATCCGAGCCTTGCAACGGGGTCAAGATGCGGAAGAGACAATTATGTGTCCTTGAAAATAATCAGCTTGAGAACGCTAAATAGAACAATTATTACTAGGAGAAACCCGTCGAAATCGACGGTTAGGGGCCTCTTCGTTTATATGGGCGTGCGACTTCATTGGCAAAAAATAATGCAAATGACATAGCAAAGTGGCATTTCAAAAAATAAAAGAATACTTTAAATTGGCTGTTACGTAAAAATTGATGTTTAAATGCATTGTTAATCAACGTATTGTATAAAGGATGATGTGATCTAGTTTAAAAGGAATATGACCTTTCTGTCATGACAGTAGCTGCTTAAATATTATTTACTCTTTGTGCCATTTTTACAGCCAAAATGTCATGTTATTTTCAACAATGTTACCAACCCAGAGGGCCACGGTCCGTAATATAGACCACTGCAAATAATTTGTCAAAGATAGGTACCGGTACAATTCTAGGCAAGGTTTCTGTGTTTGGATGTTATTAAACACGATAAGAGCTCAATGAACTTCTACTACAGATAACTAATCTGATGGGGAAATATAAGCCGAATTATAAATGCGAGTTTGGGCATTTTGTAACTGTATAAGTAAGTTACATAATATTTTTAGGCTGCTGCTCAGTCCACTTAAGAAAATATTTTTAGAGATAAATTAAATGGTTTTTGTTGCTGAGTAGCGATATTTAACATGTAGAACCCTCTTGGTTAGTCTAATAACATTCAATGGCTCTCTAAAAGTTGAAGTTCTTATTTGTATACATACCCTTATTATGTTTTTACTAAACGGATTGAATACATCGAAGTAACCTCTCTGAAAAGTCTACAGTAAATTGCAGTTTTCCAGTGTAATTAATTTTTTAATCATGCACATCTTTCTACATAAATATTGTAAAATTTTTTATTAAGTTGCTATACACTAATATTAATTTAACAAAATATGGACACGGCTCATATGGACAACGTGCCCTTCTACATTTGTATTATTTTGTAAGACTTTTCCAATGATTGAAAACAACTATGACAATAATCTCATGAACCTATGATGATCTGTGTAGATAGTATGATAAAATATAGGCAAAAGTGGTAATAAAGGCAGACACTAACCCGTACAATAGATATAAGATATAGTTCGATATGAAATAATTGTAAGAGTTACTATAAAATGATTGTCAACTGATTTCGTAATGGAAAGTTATATTGCAAAACATGGCATGATACAGAAGAAAATCTATTTTAAAATCAGTAAATAGTATTGCAAATACTTCTTTTGGACAATTCAATAACTAGCAATAAACGTGTGTTGTTTAAAATACAATTTAAGAAATAACAGCTGTTTAATTCAAAAGCTGTTTCAATTATCCACATCATGAAAATGTAAACAAATCTTTGGAGGGATCTTTAAGGGCTTCTGGGGCAGAGCCCTAACAGGATTCACTTCGATTTTCTTTTGGTAACTCATCTAGAGACCAAGACCTTTCTTTTGACACCTCTACCAAGTTTCTACGCCCAGTCGTTCTCTCAAATTAGTGGAGACAAAGTTTCCAATAAAATATTTAGATTCCCCCATGTTAATCTTATGGAAGAAAATCCAACTTTGATGGAAGATCCTGCCCAAACCAATAAAGATTTCAAAAAATGAAAAAGACTTTGCAAAACTACAGATCAGGGCCATTCTTTTGACACTTTAATCATCAAAATCGGTCCAAAAATGAGGGAGGAGTTCTGTTTACAAAAATCGGCTTAGCGTATTATATATATATATAGAAGATGTTACCTAAATCTGCTGTGTGTGGATAGACTTTTATTAATTTACTATTAGTATTAACTGGCTACATTAACATAACTGTAAAAAATCAATCCATTCTATGTATCACAGCTTTTTTTTCTGCTTGGTACAAATTAGCTGTTGTCATAAATTTAAAAAAATAATAGTGCTGCACCCTGTTGGTAAACCTATTAACTTTTTTATTATATTGAACATCACAGAATCAAATTGTTTAGTTGAAACAGCTGTTAAAATTCTTTAATTCCATTTAAATATAAGTACTCATAAGGTAAACATGGGGAAACTGCAGAGCCACTGGGGCGGAGCTGATTTGACGGATCACGAAATTGATGGTGTATAAACCTATTCCATGAAATTCTACACATATGTACCAAGTTTCGTGGCAATCGGTCCAACGGTGTCTGAGCTCATAACGTTCAAATATATAGGCTATATACTAGCTGTGTGCCCGTTCTACGTACGGGAATCTTGTAGTAAGTTGAAACCTTCTTATATTTAGAACAGGAGTTGGTTTGCATATTTAGTGTGCATTTTTCCAGATATGCTGGCAAAACTATTACTGTATAGGAATAAATATAAACCTTCGCAAATACAATATCTGACAGGTTCAAGCCAAAACGAATGCTTCGAGATTCAATGTGACCCGATCGTGTTAGTCCATATTTTAATCTAATGATAAAAGGAATTGCTTTATAGATCTATGAGGTATAGCCCTGAGGTGGCCTGTAATTGAAAGTTACTTTTCACACTGGTTAAAAGTAGTTAAAATACTACCTCAACCTCATTACTGCACACTTTATTCGGGTTGAAATTTTCATTAACAAAGGTGCTCTTGTCTTTTCCACGAAACACTGAGAAATAAGGACATTAATGTGTTACCAACAGACATACACATACAAATATAGAATGGAATTAGGAGATTTGCTACGCTTTAACCAAAGCAAATTACAAACAAAAAAATTGTATTTGAAAGTTTTGATAGTGTCATCAAATTTTATGATAATCGTATTTAGGCCTAATCAAACTGTAAAATTGGTGTAAATCCATTGACAAATATATAAAAAAGTAAATAAATACACAGTCCACAAAACATTGATAGTACGTTAACAAAATAAAGCTTTAAAAAATCGTGATGGTTTGCTCAAAAAATCTTTCACTAATGTTTTATCATTTTCATAGCAAAAACTAACATTTTGGACTCCAGACAGGAAACGCAAAAATTATACAGTAAGACATCAATTAAATTTAATAAGAAATAAGGTGCAGCACTAACGATAACTTTTGTAACCATCCATAACCACCAGTTCGAAGGAAAAGTAGCAGTAC